TTTGTCACCAGATTCCAACGTACGGCCGAGAAATGGGGAGGCTTACAATAGAGTGTCTTGGCTGGGGCAGGATGCTAAGGATAATCATTTAAAAACGACTCTTTAATGCAACAACTACCAAAAAATATATTTCATCCATAGCTTCATGTCCTACCTCTTAAAGAAGATAATATTATGTTGTAGGAAGAGCAACTGGAACTTGCTGAATTGAACCAATGGCAGGAGACCAGAGTCCAGAGAAACCAGGTAAACCACTGACTAAATGAATCCGTTTTCTCTGTTTCATAAGGGAGAAACTGCACCTGTTCGTTTCACAATGATTTAAGGAGCTCAACTAAGAAAGCAGATGTCACACCATTTTGAATAAAAAGTACCTGATTCACTCAACAAATATTATTGAGTAGCCATTGCAAGCAAAGCGTTGTGAGAAATGCTATAATGAGGTTGAGCACAATCTATTCTATGCCAATGGAAATCACAGTTGCACAAAATATGGAAAATTGTTAGGAAATTGTTAGAAATTTTTGTCACACAGAGTTGACAAAGATAGATGCAGATCAATGAAAATGGTAACAGTTTACAGTGATGATAGGCTTACTGTCAAAAACGATTGAATCACTGACTGTCCAACTCCAATGTCAAAGCTAAAATACGTGGACCTTTGAATAGATGCAGTAACGTAAAACGCATAACCAATTTAGAAGATTCAGTATATAATAAAAGAACACTAGTATCTCAATTTTTAATACAGATTGCATGTTAAGATGGTATTACTTTGGATATACTGAGTTAAATAAAACATTTAAATGGATGTCACATTTTTATTTTTTAATGTGGCTAGTAGAAAATTTAAAATGACCATAAAACCTGAATTATATTTCTATTGGACAGTGCTGTTCTAAAAGGGTGTACAGTAGCCAAAAGAGAAATCTGGGCAGTGCATGGTTCTGAAAAGGCTACTCACGTGTATGCTGTCTTGTGAGGTAAAGACTCAAATGTGCCAAAGATGCAACTGAGAATGAACCAAGTGTTATGAAACCCACAAATTATAAAAATTCTGATGGCTCATGTGGGAACATAAATATAGTCAGGAGGAACATGGGCTAGGTATTGCTGGTGATTCCAAAGTGAATGGACTGAAACTGAAAAGAGGTAGAGGGCACAGGAAATAATTTTGTTTCTTCATCCCGCAGAAGCATAAATATTTGAAGGAGAAATGAGTCTATGAAATGCCTGTTAGATTTGAAGTCCAATTTCCCACCAGCACTTTCCCTCCAGGAGCCAGTGAGTATTTCACGTGCACGCGCACACACACGCACGCACGCACGCACGCACACACACACACGTTATCTACCGCGCTTTACTAGCCAACAGAACTCCTTAGGATGCTTCCACCAAACTATTTAATATTGACAATCCACTTAAATTATTTATCTCTAGTAAATGGCCACAAAAAACAAATCATCTCTAGGCCCCAAATTACAAACCATAATACTGAAGGGACCTGGAGGGATTCAGTTACAAGTGCCCCAAGGGGAGCCCTATTGTTTAATTGAACTTGCAGCACCCAGCCCAGTACTGGTTACACAGTAAGTGCCCAATAAATTCACTAAGAACATTAAAAATGGTGGTATATTGGAAGGTTAATAGTCCACAGCTACACAATGTAGAAAAGGCAAAGACGGGAAGTCTTAGGCGGCAGGCTCAGTGTTGCAGATGGGTGATCAAAGACATGAGTGTGAGCAGTTAGAAATGAAGAGCCAGGAGCCAACAGGTCTCCTAAAGTCAAGTCATGCCAGACGGGCCCCTATTCTTTTTCCACCCTGCCTCCAGATGGGCAGAGGAAGCCTTAAACACAGAGTAAATCTTGACTTTCGAAAGACCTTTGACCTTTCATAAATCTTTATGAAATGTGGAGAGATAGCACGCATGATTGGCAGCAGTTTCAACAAGTAGAAAAATCATGAAGAAAGACTGGTGGTTGAGAAGTTGAGGCCAGCCTAAAGAAATTCTTCAAGAATGTATCAGGAGTTCGTCTGAGGTGACTTTTTTCTTCAGTGAGTTGGAGGACACACAAAAGGCATAAAGGTGGAGGGAATAAATACAGCACTGGATGTAGTTCAGAAGGCCCTAATATTAGGGGTCATGTAATTGGTTATCTAAAAACAGCATGGTGAAATCTAACAGGAGTAAATTAGTTTGTATAATTAAGTATACAAATAAATCATAATTAGAAATAAAAATACATAAAAATGAAATATATTTAGGATGAGGAGGACCTAGTCTGAGGCAGCGCAGATGTTTATCTGGTTGTCAGTAGTACAATGTGGAATCTGCTTATTAAAGCTGATGCAATGGGAAGCTGCATTAGAAGACATGCAGTTCTAAATGAAGCCTGTTTCACTTCTCTTATATTCTGTACCAGCTAGTCCACACTGGGAACATCGTGACAAGAGGAATCCTGAGAAACAAATGAAGGAAAACAACAAGCAGGAGTAATCTAAGGGATTAAAGGTGCTTCCAATGAAAGGAAAGCTTCCAGATGATGCCCTAGAAATCTTCACATTCTTAAGTTTTCAATTAGAAGTGGTAGGGCACTCTTAGTCTGTTTTCCAAAAGGCATTTTTAAGGAGAGAAGGGTTCACAGATCTCTTAGAGAATCTGATAAAGCCATGGGCCCTCCCCCCGACCCCGGGGAAAAAATTACACACGCATACATGTTTTCATACAATTTCAGGGGGTTCTAAACCTTAGAAGTTATAAGGACCCAGGTTTCTATTTCATATAAAGAACTATTTCTCCCTTTACCTTTAAGCAATTCTTCTGATCAGGGAAATGGACAGAGATTCCTAACCTGGGAAGAGGGAGTGGGAGAAGAGTGTGGAGCCAGTAACCCAGAGTCCCTCCCAAGCCTAAGATTCCCTAATCCGAAAGGAACTTCTGAATACTTTTACAGTAGTAACAAAAATATTTAAAAAGAGTTTTGTCACTGTCATTCATGTTACAATTTTGAATACTAACAATACCAATTACAGTCTAGTAATTGAAACAGGGTTAAAACAAAGGTCATCCAGGCATTAACATATTTACCAGGCACATCTGAAAGGAAGTTCATTCCCTAAATGCACAACTCCAGTGGCAGCAGGTATATCAATTATTTCATGTATTACAAACAATAAAGTATTTCTCTCCTCAACGTATCTTTTGAAAAACTTGGCTGCGCTAAGGGGCATGGTAACAGAAGCCCTACAGCATCTGCAATATAAGCTCTCGTTCTGTGTTTGGTTACAAGGATTCTTCTAAGGAGCATGACAGGATATACCCATGAGGCACCTTATTAGCAGCATTACATAATTTCTATATTCCGGGGTCTATGTTCTAGGTAACTCATTACTGTCATTACAAATTAACTACTGGGAAGGAGAAGAGGTACATTTAATTCTACCCTTAAAGGAGAATAAATAAATTGAAGTACTTGAGAGTGAAGCTTATTTCTTTAAAACTCAGGTTCTCACAAAGTCAGAAAAGCTTCCTAAAATTCTTTTGAGAAATAATTCCTGGACTTTGCTCAAATTTTTTCTACTAAAATTCTTACCACTAGTTCTACTAATAATCTTGAAAGATTCCCCAATCCCAAAATAATTACAGACACATTATATTCAAAATTACTTCAATGTTTCCTACTTACAACCATATAAAACTATAATGAGGTTTTATAAATACCTGCTGCTTGGAAATTATTTTCACAATAAGCATGACCTCAAGGAGAAGGGGTGTGTGTGTGTGCATGTGTGTGTAAGTGTATGTATGATTAATTTGTGTATGGAACCCCAGTAATAGACGTTATTCACTTAAAAGTCTCAACTTCATTCTTTGGGGGTGCTGAAAAGCAAGGTGTTATTGCATTTCTTCATTTCTCAGCTTTCTCTCATTTCCACTGCTTTAATTTTCCATTCAAATCGATTTCTAAAAACAGGGGGAGGGGGAATCTGCCATCAATGGCAGGCTTGAAGTGATGAGGAAGGCTCATGTTTTTCTAGTTCAAGTAATAGCCTTCCAAAAAATGATTAATGACAGTGGACCTACTTTCTATAGAAAGAACTGTCGAATTCCATCAAAATCTGTCATATTGTTTTCTTAGCTCTCAACAAAACAAAACGCATCCAGACATTCAGGGGCCATGGAGAGTTTTAGGGATTCATTTTAGGTTATTCCTTCCATCTGCTTTAGCTATAAATACAGCCGATGAAGAGAATTATATAGGACAGTGGTCCTCAAACTTCAATGTGGAGCAGGAGCAGCAGAAAGGCTTGTGAAGACACAGGTTGCTAGGCCTCATCTCGAGTCTGTGACTCAGTCTGTCTAGGGTGGGGCACAATAAGCTGCATTTCTAACTGGTTCCCTGGTGATGCTGTTGCTGCCAGTCAGGGGACAACCCTTTGTGAACCCCTGGTATAGGAGGATCCCTGACGTATAGCTGGTTGCAACACCATATTTCCTTTATTCATTCCAACTTTCATGGCGAAGGTTTTTAAATCCTATTCTAGATTGGACCCCAAAACGGCAGACAGCTTTCTGTGACGTCAGAACCTACATAGCCACACCCTCCTCTCACTATCCTGAGGGGAAATATTAGCAAAGAGCGCAACCCTCTTCTGGAAGAAGAGATCAAGCTGTTTCTTGAGTTGCTCCCTCTCTTTTCCCCCCAAAATAATATTATTTATGTACTTCTTAATTTTAAAAAAATTTCATTTACAGTTGACATACAATATTATATTAGTTTCAGGTGTTCAACGTAGTGATTAGACATTTATATAACTTACAAAGTGATCACCCCAGTAAGTCTAATACCCAGCTGATACCATACATAGTTATTACAATATTATTCCCTCACTTTCTTTACACTGCTTACCAAGTATTTGAGTAAATTGAAAAGGAAAGTGATTCACAAAGCTTATCTGGGAGGGTGGCTCTATCACAAAGAAGACTGGCATACTCACCAGAGAGGAAATACACCCAGTCGTGTGGTGATAAAAACCATGGCGAACATAATAAAGAGAAGATCACACATTTTCTGAAACTTGGCATAATTGGCCATTTTGGCAGCCTATGAAAGCAAGGAATACGACGTATTAATTTAGTTAAGTTGATAACTAAAAAGCTTCTTTGACTATGCATGAGTCTCCTACAAGTTATAACTTACCAGGTGCACGAAACTGCCTGCTACTGTGCAATGTCATGCGTCACGCATCGGTATTTAAAAATTACCCATAAGCCGAGGGAAATGCAGCATTAGCCCTAAGTAGAACTGCTGACTGTCACAGATTTAATAAAATATTCAGCAACCTGAGAAATTCAATTATATGGTTGATTTCAGAAAAATAGGAAAATAAGAAAATTCTTGCATTAAGGATGATATTAGCAAGCCAAACACACCAGAACAGGAATTTGGCCTAACAGGTCAAAATAGAAAGTGTTACATAACTCTTTAGAACTTTAATGAGTCCCAAACACTGAGACCACAAAACTTATACAGAATATATAAAGCCTTTCTGTATTTTTTTTCTCCTTTCTCCTTAGAATTATAGGTTTTCTTTAAGGCATAAGGAGTATTCTGGGGAGACAGTTTCTTGGCATATTCTCAAAAACAATTTTAGAAATGGAAATATGTCAAGATCAGATTTTTTCAATGAATCCATTTAGGTATCGTTTTCAAGGTTACATTAATGGGCCATCTTCTGGATGAAAGACACTAATGTTGAAAGCGTCTGTAAGAAGTACTCTAATATTTATGGTAGTGATTTAAGTGACGACTTTTTATATTATAGTCTAGGGAAGAAAGCACAACCCTTCCTCTACCATCTACTATTTACAGATGATTCTAAGTAAAAACAGGTGACACTGAAAACATAATTTTGCTTCATCACCTCTTTTTATATTTTCACCAAGAATTCACAAGCCCTGTCCCACAGGGTTATAAATTGAAGATGTCTTCTGAATTCATACATTATTTTATAGTTTTTGGAAAGTTAAATTAGCTGAGTCAAACTTGAAAAGCTTGTTGACAGTGTCCACAGAAGCTATAATTTAATAGCTGTAAGTAGAACACAAAGCTATGAGAGAACTATATTCCTAAGGGAAAATGCCAATTTACTGAGTGGAAGCTTTTAATTTCATGAGTACTTTGGATATGAGACCACAAATTATATTGAGGAAAAGCATCTTCTGCCTCCTTCTGGCTAGGTAGCCATGCAGTTCTTTTATATTCACTCACCAGTATTCAATAAAAAAGATGAAACATCAATTTTTTAAACATGTTTAGGCCATATACCCCACTTCAAAGAGTTGACAGTCAATATATCTCATTATTTGGATACTCTTGATAGATACTTTCTAATAGCAAAGAGGACCCAGCTGATGAGAAAAATATGCTTTTAAGCCACATAGCTGGGATTTCTGGATTATTTTTCTTTTCTGGATTAAAGTGGCACACGATGATACACCTAACATTTTCTGAATCATAGCTCTGCCAAGCATCATGCCAGCCATTTTCACAGAGATTAAAGTTGGAAGACTGTACAGGATTGATTTCAAAACTGTAGAGTGCTGTATAAATCTTTACTTTCAAGCATACTTCAGACTTAACCAAATGGTAACTGATTTTCAGGGGATTGCCCTTACACTAATTATATTTCTCCTTTAAAAAATATGTGGAATAGAGCCTAGCTTGAAGCACTTAAAAACTGTAGTGCTAACTATCCTCTGACATATCCTAGCCCATTAGGACTATGTTTCTGTTTCATAAACTTATAGGGATCAAGTTTTAATAAAGTGCTATATATACTTCAAACCTTGACTAACTGCCTTTCTAGTAGATTCAATTTTATGGTGCGGGAATTTCTGCTTATACTGCAGTATATGAAGGCACCTTTATTCTATATACAGTGACAGTAAATGCTTTAAAGGGAAGAACTGTGGGCCAACAGGAATAAAAAATCAGAATACAGATTCTAAGACCACTTCTACATGGAATTTGTATTCTGGTAAGTTTATTTTTGACCGATTACATAAATTTCTTAGTATAAAGTGGAAAAACTTTTATTTAATTATTAACATTACTGAGTGTGTAATTAAGAGTAAATACTACATTGAAATTTTATTGGAGATTTTATCTTTTGAAATATGCTAGAAGCACTTTTCTTTCTTTTTTTTGCTACTTTAATAATTCTAAGTGATGATGGTTTAGAAAGTTTATCAAAGTGCAATCAATATATCCTCAGATACATTTTATGCTTATATGCACAGAAAACAATTGTCATATGTAATTTGCAATTTGCACACACTTTTCACTGTAAAAAACGAGGATAATATGTACACTGGCAATAAAAACTATGATTACTAATTGATTTCACCAGGATGTACAACTTCCATTAATAACTAAACTGAATTACATACACTTTCTGGATAAATCAGTATGAAACGTATAACATGAGAAATAAAACCAATTCAAGTAATAATTTTCTTAACGTAAAACATTCAATTTTTAAGTGTGGAATAATAGAGGTGTTAATTACTCTGCTAATAAAGAATGCTAACATGATGAATATTTTTTATACAAAAACATATATACTAATTTAAAGTCTCCTTTTCACCAATTTCACCTACAAAGAGATACTCTGCAGTTTCAAAACAGTCATATACTATTGTCCCCAGACCATCTAGCATGACATAGAAGAAGTGGNGCAGTTTCAAAACAGTCATATACTATTGTCCCCAGACCATCTAGCATGACATAGAAGTGATAATCTTCGAGACTTCCTGAATTCTAGATCTTGTGCTCTCAAAGATGAAATAAATTTTACCTCCAGAAAAGCATCCGCTGAATCGTGAAGACAGAGAACCAGGGTCCCTATTCGGGCCATGTTGTTGACATATGAAAACGTAATCAAGAAAATAGACACCAGGTGATGCAGGAACATAATGCCGAAGTCCTTGGGGAAGGAAAAACACAGCCACATTAGGGCTTAGCGGTATTGTAACATTTCCACTGATCCATTCAACCATTCGCATCTAGTTCTCAGCTCACTGGCAGAGAGAAATGATGACCATGCTCTGAGCTTAATGAGTGACTGTGTGTCAATTTAGTTAACTAATTTTACTTACAATCATTAAAGTTGGACAATACCAAAATGCCTTAGGCACACAATAAAAATGGCTCTGATAGTGTTTCCCACTGGAAGATGAAATTTGTTCTCTTCAGTCTGTTATCCAAAGTTTATTAGGTTCCATCACCAGTCAGACAATGGCTATTTCAAAACAATGAATCAATGAAAGTGGAACTACCCTATCAACTGATATTTTAAACTGTTTCCTAAACATAATTAAATGAAGACATACAGTGCTTAATTCAACAGTTCAGTGAGTTTATCTGTGCCCATACTTATTACACACACACACATATATATATATTTTAAATATATCTTTATTGATTTCAGAGAGAGGGGGAGAGAGAGATAGAAACATCAATGATGAGAATCATTGATCGGTTGCCTCCTGCACACCCCTGACTGGAGATGGAGCCCACAACCCAGGCATGTGCTCTGACCGGGAATCAAACCGTGATCTCCTGGATCCTAGGTCGATGCTCAACCGCTGAGCTACGCCCAGCCAGGCTACACATATTTTAAAGTCTAACCAGTTGAGTACCTAACCAGAACAATACCTTCCACATTTCCCATTGTTCAGCCCTGAGTCACTAACTGCTTTTGATTCACTGAAAGAGAACAAGAGCCCAGCTGGTGTGGCTCAGTGGTTGAGCAATGACCCATACACAGAGAGGTCACTGGTTTGATTCCCAGTCAGGGCACATGCCTGGGTTTCGGGCTCAATCAGGGGGCGTGCAGGAGGTGCCAATGGATGTTGATGGTTCTCTCTCATCGATGTTTCTATCTCTCCCCCTCTCCCTCTCTCAAATCAATAAAAACATATTTAAAAAAAGAAAGAAAGAGAACAAGAGTTCTCTATTTAATTTTAAAATTAATAAATATAAGTTGATTAAAATTTATATTTTAATCAATCCACTTATGGATGATTAGTGCCATTTTATAATTAAGTTTCCTGATTTGTATCTGATATAAATGTCAATAAACAACACAAAGTCCTTGGCAATATATCAAGGATCCTCTTAAAACAAGAGCCATGTTTTTCAAAGTTTGTTTTGTGAAGATGATTTCTGCATATAAGTTCCCTGGTTCCAAAAAATATTTATTACTAAGAGACTCAGAGTCATGCGCACGGCAGAAGACCGATTTTCATTATACAGTCATATCTGTATGAATATGAAAAAAGCATGAATAATGAATTTTATCTTACATTTCTGCTTCAGAAAAGCATTATACACAATGAAATACCTTTAATAAAAGCCATGGAATGATTATTTTATGTGTTACCCACATCTCACCCTGACACATTTTTTTAAGTTGACACTAAGTCTGGTCCAAATACCAGTTTTTAAACAAATTGTCAATTTGGACTTTATCGATGCAGGGTGGGACCCTGGTGGGACCCCCCCCCCCATGTTT